GGGCCAAGACCCGCGCGGCCGGCGGGGGGGGGGGGGCGCTGGGGGGCACTGGGGACACCTCACCTTGGCCGCCAGGTGGTGGCTGGGGCCGCAGTTGTGGTACTTGTCCAGCACCTTGGGGACGTCGCCGGTGTCGAACTTGTAGCAGGCCAGGCAGGTCGGCTTCCTCTGGGGACACGGTGGGATGTCACCCCCGGGGGCCCTGGGGACCCTCTGGCACCGAGCACCGTCCCCTCTGTCCCACCCATGCAGCATGGTGGGGGGACAGGGGGTCTGCAGGAGGCTGAGGGGCTCTGGGAGCCCTGGGACGGGGCCCAAGGGGGGTGGAAAATGCAGGGATGGGCCCCAAGGGAGGGGGAACACACAGGGACGGGGGACACCCAGGGATGAGTCCCAAGGGAGGGGGAACACCCAGGGATGGGGTGGTGGCTGGGGCCGCAGTTGTGGTACTTGTCCAGCACCTTGGGGACGTCGCCGGTGTCGAACTTGTAGCAGGCCAGGCAGGTCGGCTTCCTCTGGGGATACGGTGGGATGTCACCCCCGGGGGCCCTGGGGACCCTCTGGCACCGAGCACCGTCACCTCTGTCCCACCCATGCAGCATGGTGGGGGGACAGGGGGTCTGCAGGAGGTTGAGGGGCTCTGGGACCCCTGGGATGGGGCCCAAGGGGGGTGGAAAACGCAGGGATGAGTCCCAAGGGAGGGGGGAACACCCAGGGATGGTCCCAGGGGATGGGGGACACCCAGGGATGGGGGACACCAAGGGATGGGGGACACACAGGGATGGTCCCAGGGGAGGGGGGACACCCAGGGATGGGCCCCAAGGGATGGGGGACACCCAGGGATGGGCCCCAAGGGAAGGGGAACACACAGGGATGGTCCCAGGGGATGGAGGACATTCAGGGATGGGCCCAAGGGAGGGGGGACACCCAAGGATGGGGGACACCCAGGGATGGGCCCCAAGGGATGGAGGACATTCAGGGATGGGGCCCAAGGGATGGGGGACACCCAGGGATGGGCCCCAAGGGATGAGGGACATTCAGGGATGGGCCCCAAGGGAGGGGGGACACCCAGGGATGGGCCCCAAGGGAGGGGGGACACCCAGGGATGGGCCCAGGGGATGGGGGACACCCAGGGATGGGCCCAGGGGATGGGGGACATACAGGGGTGGGGCCCTTTGGGGGGAACGGGATGTGCCCCAAGGCAGGGGGGACACCCCAGGATATGCCCCAAGGGAGTGGGGATGTGCCCCAAGGGAGAGGGACAGCTTGGAATGCGTCCTGAGGGAGGGGACAACACTCCAGGATGTGCCCCAGGAGAGGAGGGACCCCCAGGTGCCCCCGGGGAGCGGGGACAGCCCAGGACACGTCCCCAGTCCCCTCACCCGGCTCTCCAGCACGCGGCAGTGCCGCTGCGGCGCTCGCTTGCGGCACGTGGTCTGTGCCAGGCCCAGGCGCAGCTGCACGAAGGTGCCCGAGGGGTCCTCCTGTGGGTGGCAGGCGTGGCAGGGCCCGGACCCCCGGAGGGGTCCCCACCTCCAGAGGGACTCCCAAACCCCAGAGAACCCCCGGGAGTACAGCCCCCGGCGAGACCCCGAACCCCAGGAGTCACCCAACCGCCCCCAGAGCCACCCCAGATGCTGGGGGAGACCCTGAGCCCCACAGATGCCAACCCCTGAGAGGGACCCCAAAGCTCCCACAGGAACCCCACATCCCGGGAGGGACCCTGAGCTCTGGGAGGGATGCTGGAAACCCTCAGGTAAACCCATCCCAGGAATGACCCCGGGGTGGCTCCCAGATGGGCACGTGGCCCGAAGTGGGGGTCCCTGGAGCCCTGGCCCTTCCCAGACACGGGACAGTGTGCAGGGGCACCCCGGGACGGCCCCGGCTCGGGGACACCGGGATCAGCTCGGGTCCGTTAATGAATAACCGAGCTGAGCCCGGCCAGCAGGGCCTGTCCCGGGGCACCCCGGGCACCCTGGGCACCCCGGGCACCCGCCTGCTCCCTGTGGGACACCCGGCCCCCTCCCCACTCCTGTGGCCATCCCGGACCCCAGCCCCGAACCGCAATCCCAAATCCCAGCCCTGAACCCCAAATCCCAAATCCCAGCCCCGAACCGCAATCCCAAATCCCAGCCCTGAACCCCAAATCCCAAGCTCACCTGCTCGGTGATCCCGTCCATCTCCCATTCCTCCTTACTCCTGTGGCCATCCCGGACCCCAGCCCCGAACCGCAATCCCAAATCCCAGCCCTGAACCCCAAATCCCAAATCCCAGCCCCGAACCGCAATCCCAAATCCCAGCCCTGAACCCCAATCCCAAGCTCACCTGCTTGATGATCCCGTCCATCTCCCATTCCCTCTGGGACACCCCCATCCCCTCCCCAACCCTCTCTCTGTTCCTCCTGGGACACCCCAACACCCTCCCCATTCCCACGGTCATCCCTGAAACCCGAATCCCAATCCCAGATCCTGTTGTTCCCACGCTCGATGACCCCGATCACCCGTGCCCCCTCCGGGACCCCCACCCGTGCCCCCCCCGGGACACCCACGATCCCAATCCCTGCTCAGCCCCCGGACGCCCCCTTCCCCCGCTGCTCCCTCCCTCCCTCCCCGTTCCCCCGGGACCGCGAGCCCCCTCCCCGCTCCCGTGGCCATCCCGGCTGCCGAGGGGCGGGCTCCCGGTGCGGGATCCCGTTCCTCACCCGCTCGGTGACCCCGTCCACCTCGCGCTCCTTGAAGAGGAAATGCACGTTGCTGCGCCCGTGGAAATACTCCAGCACGTCCCGCACCACGCGCCGCTGCAGCGGGGACTGCCCCGCGGCCCCCGGGGCCCCCGCGGCCAGCGCCAGGGCCAGCGGCAGCCACAGCGACACCGGCAGCCTCATCCCGCCGGCAACGGCCTCACGGATCCGCTGGCGTCGGGCTGGCATCAGCCGATTTCCTGGGATCTGCCCCCAAATCCGCCCCCGGGACGGCCCCGCGGGTGACCCCCCCCACCCCGCGGGGCGCGGGAGGAGGGGCCGGGATGGGGTGGGATGGGATCGGGGGGACACCCCGGGAATGGCGTCATGGGCTGCTGGGAATGCTACCCTGCCCCGGGAACACCGTCCGGCCCCGGGAACGGCTCCTGCCCGCCGGGAACGGCTGATGTCCACCGGGAGCGGCTCATGTCCACCGGGAACAGCTTCTGACCCTGGGAATGGGCTCCTGCCCCCCGGGAACGGCTCCTGCCCCCCGGGAATGGCTCATGTCCACCGGGAACGTCTTCTGACCCTGGGAATGGGCTCCTGCCCCCCGAGAACGGCTCCTGCCCCCCCGGGAACGGCTCCTGTCTCCCGGGAACAGCTACCAGTCCCCCAGGGATGGCTTCATGTCCCACCGGGAGTGACATCCTGCCCTCAGGAACAGGTTCCTGCCCCGGGAATGGGCTTGTGCTCCCCGGGAACGGGCTCCCGCCTGCCGGGAATGACATCTTGCCCCCAGGAACAAACTCCTGATACCGGCCATGGGCTCCTGTCCCCGGGAATGGCTCCAGCCCCCGGAGCAGCCACGAGTGAGCTCTGCCCCCGGGAATGGGGTCCTGCCCCAGGAATGGGGTCCTGCCCCGGGAATGGGGTCCTGCCCCGGGAATGGGGTCCTGCCCCGGGAATGGGGTCCTGCCCCGGGAATGGGGTCCTGCCCCGGGAATGGGGTCCTGCCCCGGGAATGGGGTCCTGCCCCGGGAATGGGGTCCTGCCCCGGGAATGGGGTCCTGCCCCGGGAATGGGGTCCTGCCCCGGGAATGGGGTCCTGCCCCGGGAATGGGGTCCTGCCCCGGGAATGGGGTCCTGCCCCGGGAATGGGGTCCTGCCTACCGGGAATGGGGTCCTGCCTACAAGGAATGGGGTCCTGTCCAGGGAATGGGGTCCTGCCTACCGGGAATGGGGTCCCATCCAGGGAATGGGGTCCTGCCTACCGGGAATGGGGTCCCATCCAGGGAATGGGGTCCTGCCCTGGGATTGGGGTCCTGCCCTGGGAATGGGGTCCTGCCCACCGGGAATGGGGTCCCATCCAGGGAATGGGGTCCTGCCCTGGGAATGGGGTCCTGCCCCGGGAACGGGGTCCTGTCCAGGGAATGGGGTCCTGCCCCGGGAATGGGGTCCTGCCTACCAGGAATGGGGTCCTGCCCTGGGAGTCCGGCGCTTCCGCGGGAGGGAGCCGGTGCTGGGGCGCACGGGGGTCACTCCGAGCCCCCCAAGGCGCGCCCGGCTCCGGGGAGAGCCGGGATCGCCGGGAGCTGCCGCAGGAGCCGCCGGGCCCGGGGCAGCGCGGCCCGGTGGCCCCGGGGCTGTTCCCGGGGCTGCTCCCGGTTCCCGGGGCTGTTCCCGGTTCCCGGGGCTGTTCCCGGGGCTGCTCCCGGTCGATGAGGTGATTCCAGACCGGGGCTCCTCCCGGGCCCCAGGGCTATTCCTGACTGCCAAGGCGGGGCTGTGCCGGGGCTGTTCCCGGCTCCCGAGGCTATTCCTGGGAGGACGGGGCCGTGCCAGGGCTATTCCCGGCCCCCGGGACTATTCCTGGCCCCCGGGGCTATTCCCGGCTCCCGGGGCTATTCCCGGCTCCCGGGGCTATTCCCGGTCCCCGGGGCTATTCCCGGCTCCCGGGGCTATTCCCGGTTCTCCAGGCGCTGCTGTACCGGGGCTATTCCCGGCCCCCGGGGCTATTCCCGGCCCCCGGGGCTATTCCCGTATTCCCGGCTCCCGGGGCCGTTCCCGGGTGGACGAGCCGATGCCGAGCCGGGGCCATTCCCTGCTCCCAGCTGCCTCTCCCATCCCGTTCCCATCCCGCTCCCATCCCGCTCCCATCCCATCCCCATCCCATCCCATCCCATCCCATCCCATCCCATCCCATCCCATCCCCTCCCCGCTCCCTGCCGCCCCCTCCCCGCCCCCGCTCACATCCCGGCTCTCCCGCTCTCCCAGGACCCCGCCGCGGCCATTTGAGCGACTCGGTGGCGGAAGGAGACCAGGAAAGGGCCGGGCAGAGGCCGGAGAGAGCCGGGAGCCGCTGGGAAGGAGCCCTCGAGGGCCCGGGAAGGACCCGGGACAGGCCCGGGACAGCGATGTCGGCGGGGGGTGCGCCCCAGGTACGCGGGGGATTCCGGGGGATCCCCGCTCCTCCACCGCCCGCGGCCTTGGGGCGTTCCTGGGGGGGTTCCCGGCGCCGCGGGCTTTTCTGGTGATTTTTTTCCTGAACCCCTGGAGCCCCCCAGGAGTTTTTTCCGGGAAATCGGCGCTTTGGGAAGTCCCGGAGAGCGGGGGGTGGGCGCACCCCCCCCCCCGGCTCTGCCTCCACCGGGCTGCGGGGGCTTGGGGACACGAGGGGGATCCGGGAGGGCACGGGGGACCTGGGGGTTCAGTGTCCCCGGAAAAGCGGGACTGGCTCCTCGGTGCGGGTCCTGGCTGGAAAAGGAGCTGGTCTGGGGGGTGGGCAGTGGGAGATCCATGGAGGTGCCCTTATTCCCATCAGGGAACATCTTCCCAAGCGGGGGGACAGGGACCTGGTTTGGGGGGCAGGGATGTGGTCTGGAGGAGCAGGGTTGGGTATCTCTTTTGGGGGGCGAGGATCTTGTTTGGGGAGGAGGGAGCTGCTGGGGAAGCGGGGATTTGGTTGGGGTGGGGATGGGGATGTAATTTGGGGAGCAGGGGTCTGGTTTGGGGGGCAGGGATGCGGGCTCCATCCTGGAGCAAGGAACCTCACATTTGGGATGCAGGAGTAGGAGGGGCACGATCCCTGTCCTTGGCCTGTGGCCAAACCCAGGGAAAGGTCCCCAAACGTCCCAAAACGAGCCCAAAAGGCGGCTGAGCCGCTGCCCCCTCCCCAGCCCGCCCACGCCCTGGATCTGCTCCCGTATTCCCGGCTGAGCCCGGCGCCGCGGGCCGGATCCCAGCTGGATGCCGTCGGCGCCGAGATCCCCTCGGACCCCTGCACAGGTGAGGGGAGGGGGCTGGGCTGGGATTTTCCGCGCAGAGCTCGCTGCGTTTTTTGTGGGGACTTTGAACTTGGGATGATGAAAGCGTTCTGGGGATTCCCGGGGATGGGAGAGGCTGCAGGAAAACCCCAGAGCCCGGCACGGCCCCGGCCCAGCTCACCTGGAGCCTGGCTCTCCGGGAGCTCTCCCCACCCCGTGCCGGAGCCCGGCTCTGCCGGGAGCAGCTCGGTGCCGGCGGTGCCGACTGCGGTGTTCCCCCAGGGTACCGGTTCTTTAAGCCGGGGGGTTTGTTCGGGATGAAGCCGCCGGAGGAGCCCTTCGGAGCCGCGCGGCCGGGCCCGGAGGAGTCCAAGGCCCTGGGCAGCCCCTGCGCCGGTGAGTCCGGATCTGGGGGAGCACTGGGACCGGGGGGCTTGGCGGAAAAGGCAGCCTGGGATTCTTCGGGGGCATTCTGGGCCAGTTCAGCGCTGTTTGGGGCCGGTTGGAGGCTGTTCTGAGCCAGTTTAAAGGACTTTTTCAGCCATTTTGGGCCAGTTTTCAGCCATTTTGGGGCCATCCTGGGCCAGTTCACAGCCATTCGTGACCAATTTGTGGTAGTTCTGAGCTAGTTGGTGGCCACTGTGGGCCAGTTTTGAGAGCCAGTTTTGGCCATTTTAGACCAGTTTTTGCCATTCTGAGCCAGTTTGGACAATTTCGGACCTGGGTGTCACACACTGGGGGGGTTTGGGGTGCCACATACCGGGAGAGGCTTGGGGAGTTGATGCCCTTTGGGGTGTCCCATGTCCCCGTGGCTCAGCAGTGAGGGGCCCACAAGGAAGGGGGGGGCTGGACCCGGGTCCTCCCCACCCGGGACAGCCTGGAATCCTCCGGGAGCCGGGATAACACCGGGATCTCTCCGGTGCAGTGGAGCCCGGGCGGGTGAGCAAGGTGGAGCCCGAGGAGAAGCCCGGGATTGGCGCCGGCTCCCTGGAGCTGTTTCCGGCCGCGGGCGGCAGCTCCGGCCGCTGGTTCCCCGGCGGGCAGCGCGGCCCCGAGCCCCCCCGGGACCCCCCTGCCCCCCGCGCCGGCTGCTGGGGCGCCCAGGGGGGCGTCCCCGGCCCCTTCCGCTGCGCCCAGTGCGGGAAGGGCTTCCGGCAGAAGCAGAGCCTGGTGACGCACGAGCGCATCCACACCGGGGAGAAGCCGTTCCGCTGCGGGGACTGCGGCAAGAGCTTCAGCCAGCGGCCCAACCTGCTGACGCACCGGCGCGTGCACACGGGCGAGCGGCCCTTCCCCTGCGCCCAGTGCGGCAAGAGCTTCTCGCAGAAGGCCAACCTGCTGGCGCACCAGCGCATCCACGGCGCCCACCCCGAGGAGGGCAAGGCGCGGGCGCGGGCGCCGGCGCGGGGCTGCCCCGAGGACGCGCCCTTCGTGTGCCCCGAGTGCGGGAAGAGCTTCCGGCAGAAGCCCAACCTCATCACGCACCGGCGCATCCACACGGGCGAGCGGCCCTTCTCCTGCTTCCTGTGCGGCCGCAGCTTCAACCAGAAAACCAACCTGGTGACGCACTACCGGGTGCACACAGGTGAGCGGCCCTTCGCCTGCGCCCAGTGCGGCAAGCGCTTCACCCAGAAAACCAACCTGGTCACGCACCAGAGCACCCACACCGACCTGCGCCCCTTCCCCTGCGCCCAGTGCCACAAGTGCTTCAAGGACAAGGTGTCCCTCAAGGCCCACCAGAAGACGCACGTCCCCCGCCAGCGCCGCTGCCCCGCGCGCGGCCCG